CTCCCCCTCCCCCCACAAAACATAACCTACAAAATGACTCAAATTTCCAAGCATAAGTTCATATTCAAATCATTCCGGGAAAGTCAGGTACTTGTTCAACCACTTGAATGCGTAAAATGGCTTTGTACCCCGTTATTACAGTTTCACTTCCTACCCACCCAAACCGTATCCATTGGAATGTGCACTTGTTATATGTAACGCAATCTGTGGAATAATGGCGACTGCACAACAGATTGAAACAGAACTGAGCTTAAACGAGTTCTTGATGAGAATCCTCGACTAAAAAGAAGATTTTAAAGGCCACTAACAGACTTTTGGGTCAGTTAGGATCTCAGCAAATAGTTAAACTTCTTGTAAACGGCGGCTTGTGAGACGAAATTGATAGATGTTATGACGCGGGCTTCGGAGAGTTGAAATCTGCTTTACCGTTGCGATGTCTCAGAGTGATTTCGTGCACTAATCATTGACTGATACGGCTGAAACCTACTGATAATATAACATGAGGTATCGTGGAACACCCAGCTGTCGACATGTCGCGAGGTAAGTGGAATATATCATTATTTTTCTTTGTGCATCGTTATTTTCACGTCATTATGCTAATTAAGACGGCGGTTTTTGTTGACAAAATCACAGCTTAAACTTCTTCTAACATTTTACAGTTTCAACTGCCCCAAAATTTTATCGCATATTTTTACAGGTGAGACATTGCTCTTTAAGTGGAGGGTTGTTTTGGGATCTCAAGTTATGTACTTTTGGCGATATTTTCCTTTAAATTTCGCCTTTTCTATGGCACTTTAGGAGTAGTTCGAAAGAGAAGAAATTTAAAATTCTGTAAAAAAAATAAGATGTTGGTCAAATTGCCAGAACAGCCTCTCAACGTAACAAGAAACATTTTCTTGTCTCGAATAAAGTATTTTTACCGGGATTTATAACGTCTTCTTTGTATGGCAAGTTGTTAAAATTGTGCCCTAAAATGGCCGCTGAAAGCCCTCTCAGAGGGGCAAAACCAAGATGGTCGCCCCAGCGCTAAAATACCGATCGAATTGAACTGAAAGTTATATTTATGTGAATCACTTATCTAGACCATTCATCTGAGAAAGTTTGAGGAATTTGATTTTTTCTCGTCCAAATGACCATAGTTGACATTTACAGAGGGCGGCTCTTAATACTTACAATTTTATTACTACTTTGTCCAAAAATTCAATAAAATCACCGTGTTGGAAAAAAAATACAAGTAAGAACTATAAAAATCTAGATAAAAATTATTTAACAACTAGGTGAGGAAACCAAAGGGTTCATTAAATTCGAACACGAGTGGGCGTTTGCGGTAGTTGTTTACATGAAGGAATTAAGAAGTAAGTCCTCCTAACTTTTTCAACAAAGGCTTGTATTGGAGTCCTTTGAGAATAAGTGCAAGAAGTTTAGTGTGAATTCTTAAATATTCACAATCTGCAAATTTGAGATAGCTATGGAAAATCATATAGTGACCAATTCGGAACGTATTATATTTGCTTCAAGCGATTAACCGTTATATTCTCCAATACAGTTGTCCTTAGTTCGATCTCACTTATTTCCACTTCCGAAATAGTTGTTATTGCAGCTGCGTCTGCGGTCAAATGCAATTGAAAACGAGGCGAAAGGGTCGACAGAACAGAAGTGATCTGCTCGTTTCGTTCGTAGGTCAATAGAAATTAATGAAATATAAACATCGCGGGAAAAGTACATACGGCCAAAGGATAAATTTTTGAACGAAAAATGTCTGGAAAACCTTTGTAGGTTGAACCACAGACCGATATTTGTTCACAGCCGTTTAATTTCTTTTCTTTTCTTTTCTGTTAAAAATATATTTGATTAGAATTTCTCAAAAATGTTCCCAATGATAATGATTGGAATCAAATTCAGTTTGTTTTAGAGGAGCACATTTCAAGTTTACCTCCATGAAATAACTTTTCGTGCCAGCATATTTCAATACGCAATTTCTCCTAATATTCTTATATCATAATCAAGTGACGCAAGCTTTTTAACATAGGGGAGAAAGACAAAAAAACCTGGCATTTTATGTTTATGAGGTCTCAGCTCCTCATAGAGATTTGGCTTTTGATGATGCGGAGTCTATATGGACTTCCCCAGCCAGCCAATTGGCATATTAGAATTTACATACAACACTCATCTTGGACTTCCTAACCGCTTGTTTTAGGGAAGAACTGTTAAATACTAGATGGGAAAGAATGTTATTCTAATTGGGTAGTTTTTAATTTTCTTGTAGCCTGAAGGATCGAACAAATAAGACTGAAATTACTTTAAGAAAATACTCCACCCTATCACCCGACAGTAATTTTCGCTGAATGAGTAAAATGATTTAAACACTTATTATGAAGAAGAATATTGCTTATATATCTCTAAGAGACTGCATTGCCTCCAATGTTTTTATGTTAGGAGAATAGAAATTGTTTCAGTTTGAAATAATGCCTCGTCTTCTATTTGTCATCATAACGCTAAATTATCAAAAAAGAAGAAAAAGGTGTATTGTGTTGTTTTTATTATTATTATTATGTCAGTCTTCGGTGCGCATTTTGTGTTCCTTTGTGCAGGTGGTGGGCGGAGGGGGCTTGGAATGATCTACCAAGTTCAATGATTTGACATACACTGCTGTATAAAAACACGAAAATCTTGCCGATCATTTCATCGGGGGAACGCTATGCCACACAATTAAACAAAAAACTGTCAGGATATGAAGAATTTTAATCGATAAGCCCACGATTTTAATGACGGGGTATTTCAGAGGTAAACTCTGGCGCGGCATCCGTTGTGTGAGTGACGTAGGAGGAAGTTAGAATATGTGGCTCCACACGCTTAGAAAGATATCATTAGCTTTCCCCCAAGGCACTCTACCTGCGTTTGTTAAACCCACCTTTAAGTTTTTAAAATGCTTTCAAAAGCCAGGAAAATGAACACGATTCGAAATATAAATGGGTGAATGTGGGGCTAACCGAGGATTTATTATCAAGTTAACTGTGGGCTCCAGGAAATTTATCATTAAATGGCATTTAGGTTGCACAATCTCCAAATGCATATTATGAATAAAATCGACGCTTTGTTTTGTGCTCTGACTACGATTGGTTGTTTTAATGCGTCAAGCTCGGGTTATTTTTGCGTCAAATTTGGTATTTTTTCTCAAAGAACCTCATTTGAGAGACTTTGTTTTTGTGAAGTGACAAAAACTAAATAAACTCGTGAAGCCGTATTTCCCTAAACGAGATGCGGTAAGTTAAGTTAACGGTCTTTCAACACACGTACTGTAAAGCATAATTCTTAACAGCCTCATCCGGCCTGATTTAAGCGAGGCACCTTTCTTTCGGCTACATAATGGCCAATTAATCGAGGTGTATAGAGATCGAAAGTAGAAAAAGTAATTTGCACTGTGTAAAGCCAAAATGACGTACGTCCGGATTGTTTATGCAAATTCTTTTCAAGAACTTCTGGTTGTCTGGGAAATTCTGTTGGAGCTGTTTTGTTGGCCGCTTCCGAAGTCTTAATCGTTCAACATTAGACTAGTTTTAATGCTCAGAGAGTGTTTTGGTATATATTTTTCCACTTTCGTAATGGTGGACTGGCAGAACCGCACGACGTTCAGTGATATTAGGTTGTGATCAGCACGACAAGCCTTAAAAGTGCAAAGGTAAACACTTTGCTTTGCTACAGTAGTTGATGTCTTCATGCAAACAGAATATTGAAATGTTGGTTAACCACGTTTACAAGGACAGTTTTATACAAATCAAGAGGTTTCATCACCTTGAAAATGGGCCCGTTCTGAATTCATCGAGATGCTAACTTTTAAACCGCAGCAAGTGAAAAAACAAACGCTGCTCAGACAAAATAAGTCGTTCTATACTCATCTACACATCTAATCAGCGGTATAATGGTTCAAGCCCTTGTATGTTTGTAGAGCTAAAAATATAGGCCATGCAGCAGCCGTAGAAAACGTGTTTTTTTGCACTTAACTCGTTCACAAAAACTAAAGCATAATATCTAAAGCGGTAACCTTAAATTTTGTTTATTTCTTAGATTAGACTATTGTCTGTTCACTTCTTTTATGTAGTTTAACTAGCAAATAAGTCAGGTCCAATTTCATTTCAGCGCCTTGAATTTGATTTGATAAGTCAAAATTTCATAAACCTGTGCGGCTCCGTTTATCGCCGTAATTTACGCTTTCGCGCATAGATATCGCGCGCATAGATATCGCGCTATAACAAACGTAAACATACACAGCGGGAAATACACACGCACACAACAACACATTCAACTCAATGGACACGATCCTTGTCAAGGCGCTTTATCTACAAGTCTCTCTTAGTCAAGACGTAATAGCTCTTAAGAGCAGATAGTTGTTGCAAAAACTCCCTTCGCATATGTAAAAGTTTGTTCCACTTAAAATGGTATTTTTTTAATGAAAAGTCTGCGCAGTCAAAGTTAACGCATCTGATGGTTTATCATTTACATTCTACGAAGGATGGATATCTCAAGCGAATTAATGAGTGCTTTTGGTTGTTCTGTTTTGAGATTTTTTTATGTCGAAACTTAAAGGGGCGAGGTGATGTTTCAAGACAACTCAGTGATGTCATGTTTGAAGGCATGACCCGCGCAAGTCTCCCAAACTATGTGACCCGATACAAGTCACGTTCAGTTCACTCCTATTTTCGTCGTTTTCATTAGAGTATTGGGGCTAAAGAGTTTTGCAGATAGTCGTCATGCATTCTGTGGCCCACAATAATAACAAAAGCACATAACGTCTTCCTTTCTTAAAGACCTAAATTTAATTTGGACGAATTCAAACAGGAAGAGATAGCT